CCAACCTTTCTTCAGAGTAGGTTCTGGCAACCATTGTTCCATATAATATGTACAAGATAACAATAGACACGTGGTGGCTTTTCAAAATTCTAAAATTTCCAATTAAGGTTAAAATAGTGATTGATTCAACATATTGCAATTGTCTCCAATAAATGCCATTATAAAATTTAATATTTAGCTGTCGATTTTTTGAATTAAAAAACTATAACCAACAGAACCTTCTAGCAAGTATCATCCTTTTGATTTCAGAAAATATAAATTTGAATTTTTCCTTTGTTATTATTTGTGTGTATGTAAAATACTCAGTAAGAGAAATTTAAATTTTTTTGTTATTTAAAAAATGTTATTACATTTTATGTTAAAAAGTTATACCCCGTCCTCCGTTTTCAGTTCGAACATTCGGTGCAAATATTCGGTACGCATGCAATTTGAGTCTGAGAATCCTGTCTGAGTTATACCACACTCCCTTGAAACAGCTTGAACCGAAATTGAACATCATGTCATTCCGTTAATGGTGGACATATTGAAACGCATTAATGTTTATCTTGATCCTTGTCAGTGACTGAATTAAATAAAATTAATTGACATTTCACATAATTGACATATCTCAAAGACCTCACGAAATCCCAACATTCACTCTCGGAGACGCTGTACTTTGTCAGAGTTAAATTTTTAAGAATTGCAATGAATTATGAGGGAGGAAATTTAAAAATGCTGAAATACTCTTTTCCAGAGACGAAGCTAATTCATAAATGAAATTTAGCTAGCTTTATTTTACATAGAATAAAATCAAAAGGATGAAAAGGTATTAAATTGGATCAGACTGGCTCTGTAAATCTTCTATTTTTCTGGGTACCTAAGGAGGAGGCATAAATTCATTTCTCGTGTATCTGTTCGAAATCTTTTTAAGAAGCATTTTGCAGATAATCTTTGCAAAATTAAAGCAAATGAAAATTTTGTCTTGCAAGCATAATATGGATTTAAATTAGCTTCTGAAACGGAGTTTATAAACGTTCATGAGGCAAAATTTTTTTTAAAATTTGTATAACGTGCGACACTAGAGTTATTCAGTAGATAAAATAATGCATTGTAGTTAAGCCACTATTTTTAGCATAGAAAATCCTTCCAACTACTTGCATAATGGTAAACACATGTCAAGGGTTTGGTTATACCCTTTATTCAGGCCCACTAAAGTCCGCGCCGAAAGTTGTTTAACACTGGTAGTTCGGTGCATGTTTGAATCCCGGCGAACTGGCTGGCTGCATGGGTGTTTTCGTGGTTTTCTTCATTTGTAGTGTGTATGAGCCAGTTTCCCTTAGGAAGTCTTCCAGGAAGGCATTCTTCCCCTTAGCAAATAGCCTTCTAGTGCTTTGGTCATATTTTAAATAAACTAAACCCGGCCCTTTACATAGGATTCGCCTTTTTAAATCTCGCATAAAGTTGCACTTATAATTTTTCATTCCGTGCTGATTTTACTTTTTAATTCTACAATGTTAATGAGCTGAAGCCGACAAGCGCCCGTGCGTTCAAGACAGTTAAAAACTGGGGTTAATCTTTGCATTATGGTAACTTGGCGATTTTTGGCGAAAATTTGGCGACCAATCCTGCTAAAGCAACCTGCTAGTTTGTTTTTGGACGCCATTTTGTTTTCACGAAGAAAAGGCATCTTTTTTTTTTCTCCGCAACAATCTGCCAGTCTAATTACGCTTATGCTAAAACTTTTAAGGAAGAAAAGGGCTTAATCATGACGAAGATTAGCCCACCAGCGGCCGAGCGGTAAAGCCGCTGAACACTGATAGTTAGGTCTGAGGTTCCAATTCGCGAACGGGCTGACTGCATGGGTGTTTTCGTGGTTTTCCCCATGTGTAACGTGTATACGAGCCAGTTTCCCTTAGAAAGTCCTCCACGAAGGCACCCCTTCCCTTAGACAGATAACCCTAGTGTGCTTTGCCATAATTACACACACACACACACACACACACACACACACACACACACACACACACAAAGTGAAGTTACTAGCAAAACCCGAATACTCATTAAAAATCATGTAGCTTGCCAATCGAGAGTAACATGCTCTGCCATAATTAATTAAATACACCAAGACGAAGATTAGGTGCGAAATTGCGAGAAAGTGCAGAATCGCAAACTGCTTGCCGCGTTTTTAAGAATTGCACATACACGGTATCATCTATGTACACGTCGACCTATTTTCACTTAAAAAGACATCCCAGAATTGTAGAAAAATGGCACTGCGCACACTCTTGACTTTATCCATGTACACTGCTAAAGTCCTAGCTAGTAACCTTTATCGCCTTAACCAAAATGTCGCCAAACTACCTGTTACCCTATTCCAAAGATTAGCCAAAACGGGTACTTCGGAAATGGTAACAGGGTTCGTTCAGATCCCTCTGAAAAGGCTGGCTGCATGAACGTTTTCGGCATTTACACCATTTTTATAATAAATAAAAGCCAGTTTCTCTTGAAACGTCCTTTATGTAGATACATGTATTACTTTATGTAGTTATGTACCACAAAAGACCCCTTAGGCAGCCCTATTGTGGTTCGGCAATAAATTACTAATGTAATATGCTTTGGCAATAAACTGTTGGATCGAAGCAAATGAGTCTTTAAATAAACTAATAGCCGGACTGAAAATGACTTCTGAAGAGTTCAGTTATGGCCGAATGGATCTGGTACCTCTGAATACTGGTAGTTTAATCCGGACTCGGATTTCTTAGTTTTCTTACGTGTAGCGTCAATAAAACTAGTTTCGCGTAGACTGTCTTTCTCAAAGGCATCTTTCACTTTAGTTAGGTAGCATTGTGTGCTGTATCTGGTTTCAAATCTCTGCGAAATGGTGAATGCATGCGGGTTTTCGTTGTCTTTCTGTGTGTTATATCAATACGAACCACTTTCCCTTGAAAATCATCCACTAAGGCATCCCTCTTTTAGGTGAATAACCCTCGATTGCTTAGCCGTAATTTAAACGATCTAGTTCAATCAATAAAGTTATACTTAATTTCAAGGTAAGAGTAGTCGGTAAAATGTTTTTAAAATGCGTTATTTTATTTCAGTTCCTTGTTTATTGAAATAATTAATTGAAGTAATTTTGTGTTTAGAAAACTTTAAACTCCATATTGCCGTAAAACGAAAAATAACAAATAATGCTAAATTAATTAAACATGCATTCTACAATATCTCAGATACGGTGCGAGCAAATATGACAAATGTAAATAGGGTTATTAAGTAGTGCTCTAGGTGTATTAGAGCCCACCAGCGGCCGAGCGGTTAAAGTCGTTGAACACTGGTAGTTCGGTCCGAGGTTCGAATCCCGCGAACGGGCTGGCTGCATGGGTGTTTTCCTGGTTTTCCCCATGTGTAACGTGTATACGAGACAGTTTCCCTTAGAAAGACCTCCACGAAGGCATCCCTCCCCTTAGGCAGATAGCCCTCGAGGTTTTGCCGTAATTGAATAACCTAACCTAACCTAGGTGTATTAGCTGTTGTAACTTAGGGTTTTCAATTCAAATTCGCAGTTTTCTTTTCTTCAGTTAATTAGGTTAGGTTAATTGATTAGGCAAAGCAACTCGAGATCTATTTGCCTAAGAGGAGAGAGGTCTTCCTGGAATAAATTTTAAGGGATATTGCCTCGTATCCACATTAACAACAATTTTAGGCTTCCTTGCCCCGTGAACTAAGTCCCACTACAGGTCTACACCCCCTTTGGGCACGTCGTGGAGGTTCAACCTCCACTATTACCCTCCAGAGGAGCAGCGCACCACTTGGAATTCACCTGGCAGCACCGGTCGTCTAATGCTCCTACCAGTCGCATGGGCGAGCGCGTCGCAGTGGGCCGTTACCCAGCAAACCGGGGGGAACCAAGCCCTCCGGCTACGGTTCCACACCGCTCAGGACATGCCAGTCCCCGAGGCCGGCCAATAAATGACCTTTCTTAGGGGCTTCAGAACCACCAATTTCATAAATTTTATCCCCCGTGGCCGAGACTGCCTAGGTACAGATCCTAGCCAGTAGCTTCGCAGAGTTCTCTACGTCGACCCCCGGGGGGACGTATCCACATTACGCACGGGGAAAACGACGGAAACCACATGCAGCCAGTCCATTCATGCTGGACTGGCCACATGGATGGACTGGCCACATGGATGGACTGGCCACATTCAGCCAGTAAATCCTGGTAGTTCGATCCCAGGTCGAGCTACCAGCGTTCAAAGACTTTTACGGCTCGGCCGTTGGGAAGCCCTTGGATTTTCGTTAATTTACAGATTTCTGCTTAATTCATATTTACAGATCCTGTTTTGTATTCCTGCGTTTAGCTTGTAGAAGCAGATGTGTGGTTAATATTTTAATGAAGGAATTTCATTTCAGAAACATGGTTAAATGGATGTTTTACAAGGTTAATGTCATGATATTTAGCTGAAGTAGGGGTACTGTTCTGTTATCGGGACCGGTTTAGAAATGTAGTATAAGTACGGATGTATGTGTTTAAAACGTACACCATACATTCGTACATACATATATATGAATACATAAACACATACATACATGCGTACATTTTGGCAGAGCAGCGGCGAGCGGTAAAGTCTCTGAACACTTGTAGTTCGGTCTGAGGTTCGAATCCCGCGAACGGACTGGCTGCATGGGCGTTTTCGTGGTTTTGCCCATGTGTAACGTGTATACGAGCCAGTTTCCCTTAGAAAGTCTTCCAAGAAGGCATCCATCCCCATAGGCAGATAGCCCTCGTGTGCTTTGCCATAGTTAAATAAACCAACACCATGCATACATTTCTGAATCTGGCCGTGATAAAAGAACAGTACCGGAGTGGGTTTTGCAGTTAACAGTTTATAGAGATAAGTTTCGTAGTAAGGTCGTGTTTTTTCGAATGAATGTTGTTGTAAATTTGTCATATTTTAACCTCTTAATCCTGTTGAAACTTCAATTTTGCAATTTTGGTACTACTAAATTTGAATATTTCATTTTAGTTTTCCTTTTAATAAGAATACCTGTGATGAACATCTACTTGAAAACGCTGGTCGTTTTAGCAGGTAAATTTTTACATCAATTTTTGTGCAAGTACTTATTCTAAAGTTATTTTATATCCATTTCTTAAAAATGAAATTATTTATTTATTGAAGTTACTTACAAATATTGTATTAAAATTAATCCATTTGTAAATAAAGCTTTTGATAGCTAGATATGAAACTTTCTCGGTCCCTTTCGCATGTTTCTTGAAAACTCGCTCTTAAGTAAATATGAACACGAGCAATGAGCAGAGAAATAAGTTTATAACAGCGTTAAATTCTTCAACTGTTTTCATTTATTTTTGGGGAATTTGGTTATTTTGCGAATATCAAATGCTTCCTTGAATATCCTCGAATTTTTAATTTTGTTCTGGTTTTGTTTGATTTATTGAATATTTTTGCGCATTTAAATAACTTCAGTGCTACCTTCTGTGAGAATCTCTGCGAAAAGTGGAAATTTTCCAAAATTCAAATCAGTTTGAAACTTTATAGTTAAACTTTGGTTCATGAATTTAATTGGTACTTTTCCGTTTTGCCGGCGCAGGCGATAAAGTCGCCAATAGTGGTACAACTGATGCCAAACGGAATATCCTCTCTGGTAACCTTTTAAGTCTCATTTTCAAAACAAATCGCAGCCATTTCTTATCAGATTGTTTCTTTTAATACTGACGTAAAATTACATAGAATTTTTACCAGATAGCTGAATTTTATGCCCTAAGGCCATTTGCGGCAATTAAGTTAATTAGGATGCAATCACACCGCTCACCCGAAGGCGAAAATATAAAAAAGGCAAAGGGTTAAATTCATCCATTCTAAAGATAATGCACTAGCGAAGTAAAGCACCGTGGTTTTACATAACTTCTGAGTAAGCTATTCGTACGAATTGAAATAATTCTTGCATTTTAAACTTGTATTCGAAATTAAGATTTAACTTGAAATTAATGCAGATAATTACTGAGAGAATTAAATTTTTGTAGCGTAGTTTACGTGAGATGGGGTCACGGGATATAAACCGGCGAATCACGATGTTGAAACCATGAAAGCATAGTAAATTCTTAATGTCTTTTTACAAATTTATTGGCTTTATTTATTGGCATTTTATAAATTTTAAATTATATTAAAATATTTATGCCTTCAAAATAAATTGTTAGAACTAACATTTGACTTTTTATGTGTATACTGTATTTTGTCGCCAATAGTTTGCTTGGCGAGATTTGCGTCAGCGAAACTGAAGAGTACCGAAAAATGTCTTGCATGTTCAAAATCTCTGCTTGCAACCCAATCTGGTCGTAATTTCAATCAGGCCAAATTCATGGACCTACAGGCCCATGAATTTGGTCAATTGCTGCTAATTGCTGCTTGGAATAAGTCAATTGCTGCTAAGATTTGTTGATGGGAATTAAGCAACGGAAACTACTGAAAGGTTTCCAGAAGTCTCCAAGTATGGGGCAATTGGTTGACTTAAAATACCTTTTGGGAAACATACGTTGCCGACATGAGTGGTTGTAATTTGACACCGTCCACAGTCATAGGCGTCTTTACTTCCTTATGTGAAGTAAATATATAATTCCTTATGCGAAGTAAAGAAATTGGGGTTTAATCCTAGTATCCGGTGCACACGGGATTTGGCGACTTTATGTTGAGCAGTAAAAACGGGACATATACGATGAGTAGTTAACGGGTCATTTAAAGAAAATATATAGTTAAACATAGTGTATACTATTTATATAGTATATATACTATGTATATACACACATAGCATATAGTGTTATAGTATATATATAGACGTTTCTTTGGAACATTTTTGGTGTTGGCGATAATTTTCAAAGTCGCGCCAAGGCTGCACCGTATACTAGGATTTTAACTGAATTGGTACTATTCGGTTTCGAGGGCCGTAAAAAATCGCCAAACTATTGTTTATGCCAATGCTGCCAAAAATAATTGCGGCAACCCTAATAATTACGGCAAGAAAGGAAGTATAATAGTAAATAACTATGTAAGATTGATGTTTTAATTTAGATGAAAGGTTAATTTCATATAATATTTTTTCATTATTGTAATTTATATGAAAAAGGCTAAACATGACTGAATGGAAGCATAAGAGTCAATAACTATTTCAGATCATTATTATAATTTATATAAAAATTGCTAAAGATAACTGAATGGATGCCTGCACCGCTATTTCGCTACCGACTTATCGCTAAAGCATAATTTCATCTCGTTGGTTGTTCAAACATAATTTTCTATAATGAATGATGCCATTTCTTTGAAAGTATTCTCGGTAAAGTGCAGAATCGCTCACTTATTTGTTCGCCGCATTTTACAAGGGTAAAAAAAGATTAGATTTTTGTCAATTTTCTTTTACTTTTTAAATGAAAATAGGTCGATGTGTACATAGATAATGTCAAGGGTGCGCGCAGTGCCATTTTTGTGCAATTCTAGGCTTTTTTTTAAGTGAAAATAGGTCGATGTGCACGTGGATACCGAGTATGTGCAGTTCTTAAAAACGCGTCAAGCAGTGAGTTATTCTGCGCTTTACCCAAAATTGTATTGCTGACTTTCCGTCATGGGCAATTGTTAAATCCATAGGGTATCAAAAAAGTATTTAAAATAAAAAAAAAGTAATTAAAATTAAATTAGTATTTCAATGGCGTCTTAAGAAATATAGAAACATATAAATTGCGCAATCTGGATTCAGCGCGTACGCTAGATTTGGTGCGGTGTTAAATGGGCGCGTTTGCTAGATTTGGCGCTTTAGCGCATACATTTTCTCTGCAATTTTTTTACGGCCCTCAAAACAGAATAGTACCAGGAAATTATTGTAATCGAAAACATTTTCGGTGTCATATTCGAAGGAAAATATCCATTTTGACCGGTCTCCATCTGAATGTTTTTACGTGACACCTGCGCCTACGGATAGATTAAAGAACTTTCCCAAAATGGATTCAAAAGAGATTTTTTCGTGACGTCTGTACGTACGTATCTCGCATAACTCAAAAATGAGTAGCCTCATAACGTTGGAATTTTGCATATGTGGCTGCTATACCATGTAACCAGCTCCGTGAGCTCAGATTTTTTATTCTTACATGTTGGTAAATTGTGCATTTTTGGCTTTAAAAGTGATTGAATTATGTTCTTATGTTTCCAAAAGTAACCATTCAGTTGTGTGCACCGAAAAATGTACCTCCTTGCCCGCTGCCCTAATTGCTTATTTTTGCATAGAAAATTTAATTTTAATTGCAAAAGTTGTTTTTTTAATTGTTTTTAACTATATTTGATTTGCTTTTCTGTATTTTACAGTTTTAATGAAGATATTTTGAGTTTTTATGTATTTTTGCCGTTCCACGAAGTGAGAATTGAATTGATTGTACAGAGGCTGTTCATACATTTTTTAGACGATGTATATTGTATTCACAAAACTAAATTACATAAAATTCTTATGTTTTAAATGTTCTTTTTGAAATCCCTTATCTGAGCTATCTTTCAACACCGCAATTCCAGCATAATAATGCTTTTGAAAGTGGCAGAAGAGATATTCTATCCCATTCCTCCCGAACAGCTTTCCAGAGTCCTGTTAGGGTTTTGGGACAACGTTTGGATCATGCAGTTTTTAAAAGTCCGAAAGCACAAAAATCCATAGGTGACACATTAGGAGATTGAGCAGGGATATCAATGAAGGGTATGGCCTTGATACCAGTATTTTGTTCCATTTCTTTTAGGAAATTTACAGTGGAGTTTGATGTGTGATTGCTACCTTTGTCCTGATGGAGTCTCGCAGATGGATGACACTGTGGGTAAAGCGATGGTATTTCATTCAGAAAAATTGGCGATAAAATATGTTCCTGATAGTATTTGGAGTTAATCTTGACATTTTTTTGCACTCTCTTTATTTTGAACCTTCCATTATAAGAAAAATCAGCAACAGTCATGAATCCCTTAGGAAAAACTCTTTCGATTCTTTGAACCACGTACTTAAATTTTTTTCTCCCCTTTTATGATAATAAATGGCTATTCTTTTGTTACAATCATTTAAATACACCCATGCTTCATCTATTGTGAAAATTGTTTTCCATTTTTCTTTGGATAAGTGTTTCTCATATAGAATTCTGCAGCGTGTCCTGCGTTGAGCGACATGCTTTGGAAGAAAACGATGCACATTGCGTTTTTTTCGCTTTCTTAAGATTTAAATCAACGTTTAACATTTTGTTTACAGTGGATACCGAGCATTTTAATGATTTTGCAACTGTCCCTTGACGAGGGGGATTTTATTTTAACATTAAACAACGTACCTTTGCAATAGTCGAAGATGTCCTTTTTTTCCTTGGATACTTGTTTGGAATTTTTGTCCCACTTGAGGCTTCAATTTGAAGTTTTTTTCCTTTCTTGTTGTTGATACTGCTATCGACGCTTTAGATTTAGACAAAACCATGATTCTCACATCGTTTTTGTACAGCGGAGTATGCATATTTCTCTTCGGAAAGAGCGTAAATGTAGCCTTCGAACCATTGCTTTGTTAAATTCGCCATTTTGAATAAAAAACAAATCTTTCAAGCCACAGACGATAATTTTTACTTTTGAAAACATAGTACAATTGCAAGTACGCCTTTTGCAGCGAACGATTTTTTATTACAGCTTACCAAAATCGTCTAAACGATGTGCGAACAACCTTTGTATAAGAACTATATCTGATGAAATTGGGGGAAATAAGTTTAAATGAAATGCAGCAAAATATGTGTATAATTTTGTAGGCTGTACAGGGATGTCGTGTAGTGTGCACATCAGATTTTTTGTTCAGGTAATTTGTTCCTGAAGTGAATCTTTCTTGATCTGAGATTCTACAGTATTGTTGGATACCTTGGATTAGAATGCTGTTTACGGAAGTTTCATTCCCTTTCCGGTAAACATTTTCTATGCAGAATAATTTTCTCGTGTTAAAAATATCAGACTTGAAGAAAATTTACTTATGTGCAATATAAATTTAATTATTATTAAATCAGTTTACGATTTACCGCGGTAATACTGGATACTATATCCAATTAATCGCAATAGTACAGTAATTCTTAAAATAACATTGTTGCGTGCGTACGGGTTCGTTATGAAATGAATGCACAAGTCCGATAAAAAATGAACAAAAATTTATTATTATCACAACAAAAATGATTAAATTTTCTCAAATTATCATGCAGTATTAAAATACCTCACAGTAGTTATCTTTTAACTACTCAAATGTTCAATAGAACGTAATTCAAAACAGCTAAAGAACGCTAAACCGCGAATTCGCTACAATCAACAAGAGCAGTTTTCTAAACAACAACAAACTAAGCAACTACTACAAACTGAGATGTTTTCCTCCTTTTATAAGATTTTAAAATCACGCGCTAGAATTTTCCAATACTTTCTCGAAATCAAAGAGATATTTATTTATTTAATGCACGCGCTCTTGTATTTTCAATTTTCCGGCTTAGCTTTCTTTTAATATTCGTCACGCGCTGCACTGCGCGAGAAATAAAACCGTTTAATTTATAATTGAACTAACATTAGCTTTTTAAATACCAAATTCGTAACAATATAATGGGATTCTTGTTAACTAAGTTTCTCAAGTTTTATACTGAAGATCTCGGTTGTCAGATAACTCTTTCATGTTTATAAAACACAATAAATTTCAGCTGTAAGTTATATTTTTCTTTTATTGATACACATGTTAACAAACCATGTATAACACCTACCATAATTTTTCCACTAAAATACTTTGATTAAAATTTTATATTCCACTAAAAAGATTCATTAATTGAGAAATTTCTGCGTTTTGAAGATGAATTTCACTTAATATAAAATTTTAAAATGTTTAAATTACTAACTTAATGGATGTTTTGAAGTAAGAAAATATCATATTCACAAGTTAACTTAACCGCATCAATGCGCGTTTTTCGTAAACTGATTCAAACGATATTTTAAATTTCTATATATTTCTGTGAGAATATTTAATATCCAGTGTGTTGCCTGTAATTATGTTTTTTTCTCTAACTTAGGTGTTCTTCTGCAAGTTCTGCTGGTAAGTTATATATAATTTCTTCTGCCTTTGTGAAATTACCTGATTTATTGTTATTGAAAATGTATGTAAATATTTTTCAAATGATTTCTGCTTCGGCGAATTTTCTCTTGCTACCAACACGCTTGGTTTTCTCTTGTCTTTCTTTAGAAACAGTAACGTTTCGTTATACGTCTGGAGTTATTCTTTTTGTATAGAAATAATAACTGATGCCTTTTCCCCTGTTCATTAATCGTGTTGCTTATACAATGAATTTCATGTTTTTAAATTATGAAATTGAATATTTTTCTTTGAAAATTGCAAAACAGGCCCTCCGATTCGCAGCTTTTTTACGCACATTTTGAAAGAATAAATTTAAAAGTAGCGAAGATAGCAGCGCTTTGTTTTTATAAGCTTTTTTTATATTCATTTAGCTAATTTTCAAGAGCCTTTTTTTAAAATTACTCTAAATACCCCTTTAAACATTAGTATTGTGAATTTATCAATCATAAGCTATTCCTAAAATTGCTTTAAATGCAAAACTTTACCGTCCTCTTCGTCCCGTCTTCTTTTCCTTCACCTCATCATCCCGAAGAATTTCTCCACCCACCCATTTCGCGCCCTTTGGCTCGGCAGTCTGTTTTCGCAAATTCGTAGCGTTTGTTAATGTCTGTTTTATCTACAAACTTCTGTTCACTTCCGTACTTTATGGTGTACTTTTTCGATATGTGGACTTAAATGTCGCAATACATTATTATGGATGAAGTGGTTTTTTTTTTTATTTTTTTGAATTCAATAATTTAAAGAATATTAAGTATAAATTATAAGGAAAAATAAGCTCGTAAATGCAATGAATATTTAAAAAAAAACTAATTCTCTGCTTATTTCTAACAGCAAGATAATTTGATAACATCTGATCCGGGCGGTCCCCTCCTCTCATTTGTTGTTGTAATCTTTTACAATTATTGTTTTTTTACAGTTCTTTTCCGTGTTCCAACATCCATCATCGAGTTATTATGGACTGTACTCATCAAACGTATATCCTTCTTGTCTTTCCAATTCACAACCTCATTTTTTCTCTTTTTCTGCTGAGTAGACGTTGAAGCCATCTCTCACTGTCTTGTAGTTTATGTCAAATGGCGCAAATATTCATAAAACCCGGGGCAAATTCAATTAGTGCTGCCCTCTAGGAGGTATAATGTAGAAGAACGCTTGAGGCGCTCTACGGCCGCCCTGCGGAAGTTTCACTTGAACGCGTTACGGACGTCGAAGAGGTTAAATCATTTACTTTTTAAAATTCTTTATCGGAATTATTCTAAAAATGTGCACAACCCTCTGTATTTGCGCTGCAAAGATGGGTACACTGCATAAGCATTCACTGAGCTTAAAGTATATTTGATAGAATGTGGGACAACTTAGGAAAACCACCATAAAGGCATCTCATTAGGCAAATGGTCATCTTATATTTTTACGTACTCAGCTAACCATACAGGCATTTGTTGCAACAGAGTGATTATGTTTATTGTTATTCTTCCTTTTATCAATCTACTGCGTATTCATAGAGCTTTTTACACGCTCTTGTAAAAGCGGCAGCTGTAAAGAACATTTATATTTACTTCAAATGTTCATCCCTGAATTTGAATTTCCTTAATGCATTGTACAATGTGCACAAAAAATAGCAATTCTGAATCTCCCATTCTAGTGGGTTGATTGGCGAAATCTAAATTGAGTTATTCAAGTCTTAAAAGCGCGACTTCGAATATATATTAAATTTATATACTGCTTTGTTCTAATATAGGTATTTTGACTTATCAGAAATGACATGCTGATTTTTTTCATATTTAGATTGAACTACTCAGGTTATGCCTTAATATTAAATTTCGTAAATTTTGGCAGAAAACTTAACCTACAAATTTAAAAATTTACTTTGGGGTACTTTTTTTCAGCTTGCACCAAGAATAATTTACTAGGCGAAATTCTTAACTTATGGTAACCCCTTTTCTTTTCATTGCGCATGAGCGGGAAAAAGGTGCATAGTTTATTCTTTGAAATAATTTTAACAAATATGCCGAATTTCTAAACGCGCCAATATGCAAATTTACGTGTATATCTTGGAAAATTTTGAATAAAAAGCTGTAATTGTTTGCAGCTCTGCCTAGAAATACATCTATTTTAAGATAATGGCAAAAGTTTTATAGGTTATAATTCAAAAGGTTTTCGAAGAATTTATAAAAGTTACTAAATTACAAATTTAAAAGTCAATATCTGAAAATTTTATTTGGATTGGACCTAAATTTGGGATTGTGAAAGATTGAATCGAGTAAGTTTAATAAAATATGAGATTAATAAATATGTACCAAATTAAATTAACGTTAAGGAGCTAAAATTTTGTGATTTTGTTTTAAAACTACTCCTGAGATTTTTACAAAACTTGGCACTTTGCCATAATTTGAGTCACAGAAACTAAACATGGAAAAATAGGTATGCTGTTTCAGAAAAGTCGGATTTGTATCAAAATACTTATGTTTGGACAATTTTATATATAAATGTTATGTACTAAGCCGCGCTTATGACACTTGAAAAAACGCAAGTTAAATTTAGAAATACAGAACTAACAGAACCTTTTTTACTTCCTTGTACGAAGTAAAAAGGAAGTATTGTAATCGCGAAAAGCTTCAGGCAGCATATTTCAACGAAAATATCCACTTTGACCGCTTTCGAATGCTATTTAACGATGTTTTTGCGTGATATCTGTACGTAAGGACAGAATAAGACTCTTTTCCTCCAAAAAAACAAAAACTGCTTTAAAATGAATTCTGAACAGAATTTTTCTTGGCATCTGTACGAATGTATTTACGTACGTACGTACGTACTTACGTATCTCGCATAACTCAAAAACGAGTAGCCTCAGAACGTTGAAATTTTGTATACGACTACTATAACATGTAGATGTGAACCTCGTATTTTGGTTTCAATCGGCCGCGCCGAACGTATATAAATATATTTATAAATATATAAAACTCTGTTACCCGGCTCAGTGATCGTGTCTTTTACTTATATGCTTGTAAATTGTACATTTTTGCTTTAAAAATGATTGAATATTGTTTTTTATCTTCCGGTTAAGGGTTTTATGCCTTTAGTAAATCTGTATGCAATATTTTTTAGAGAATTATCAACAATTTTAAAATTAAGTGCCGCTAAGCCTAATTTGATGGCGGCCATTGCTCTTGTTTAAATTTGAAACAGCTGAGTAGCGGATTTGTTGCCAATCTAGAGAAACTTAGCTTCGCAACAACAAAGATAACGCCTTCATTTATTATTTAAATCATGCTTAATCCTTTCTAGAATTTTTTCGAGGAAATAAGTGTTTAAGATTTACTTCTTAATTTTTAATACAGATATATTGAGTTTGTATGTATTTTTGCCTTGCCGCGAAGTGAGAACTGAATTAATTGAACGAGAAATACTCAATCGTCTGTGGAAAACTGTTAGTTTTTTTGTTTCGTTTGCTTAATTTCTTTTATACATAGTTCTAGCTTTATTATAGTATTTGAGTAGAACATGTCGCAACGATTAGATAATTCTTTAAATGATATAAATTTTGTGCATTCAGAGTTATAATATGAACGAAATATAATACTGTTAAGTTAACCTAGCGCGAGTGTCGCTATGGTAAACAAAATGAATTTTAAAGAATGCATTTATTCTATTGTGGTTTATGCGCTGTCGGCGAAGTAGGTTTAATTCAATCTAATAAGTTTAAATGAAATGCAAGAAAAAATGCGTATAATTTAATATTCCGTATAAGGAAGTCATGTGGTGTACACATCAGATTTTTTTGTACAAGGTGTGCAAGGCATTTGTATAGCGTAAATATTATCTTCAATATAATAAACACTAAATAATAGTAATGGAAATTATTGTACGAGCTGTAAAAGTCCTTATGAATCTACATTCTTAAATTTTCTGATATTTTAACAAAACTATTTAATCTCTGCATGTAATACAGGTACCAACTTGAAAACTAAATGGTAATATGCTTTGGCTGTTCTATTCCTCAATACTTTAAAAGTACAGTAAATCCCAAAACAATGTTTACTCTTTGAATGTTAATAACTGGAATAGAAATATTAATTTTTTGGTGTTCTATATCTTAGTCATTGATCTTTGAAACGATCGCCCACGGCAGCAGCGTATTACAGAACAGGTCGACGAACAGCTGGTACAAAACAGAGCAGCATCAATCTTGATCCGTTAAAAAAACCTGAAAAATAACTTTTTCCTCAGCTTCTTTCCATCAGAACTTATAATCATTACAGCATTTGATGTAGAACTAGGAATTTATATTTTTAAATTTAGAATTTATATTAGGATGTTTACATTTTTTAGCCTTAACATCAGGAATACTTGAATTAAAAAGTAAGTGAACTTTTGGCATCATACATATCAGCGTTTTAGATGATCAAAATGAGCCATTGCCGGCAATACATCGTCTGCAAGGTTTCAGAATTATTGCCAAAAAGGAATATTATTTAAATAAGAGAAAAAGCGTAGATGACCTGAATTGCATGCATTTTCATCGATTGCCCGTGATTTTATGGCATGCACACTGAAAGTCGGTCTTCATATAACGCAGTTTTCAGCTCCTCAAATTTATAATGAAGGCCTATCAGCAGGACGAGCGCTGATAAGTCGCTGAACGCAGGTAATTCGACCTGGATTCGATTTCAGGCGAACAGTCTGACTGCATATGGGCCTCTTGTGTAATGTTCTTACGAGCCAGTTTCCCTTACACATTTCCTCCACGAAGCTATCTCTCCTTACGTAGATAGCTCTCGCATGATTTTCCGTGATCCAATACACCAACGGAGCTGAAAATCTGAACTAGGATTGAAAATAAAATTTTGTTCTTCATTATCTTTGTACCTCGCACACGTTCTCAGTATTATAACACTTTAAAAATTTTTTCACTTGTGCTTGGAAGGAAAATTGCCACCTCTGCGTTTTCGTGTACATTGGAGCCCGCCTCCTGATGGGTTGTAGCAGAACTAAAACCCGAATGACTACATGTGCTAACACTCAACGTAGACATTAGTTTCAAATACAGAATATTCAGTCAGGCTATTGTTAATTTCTCGTTAACATTTAGAAAGTATAAATATCATTTTAGGACACTTTTAATTAAATGACTTGATCAGAATGTTCTGCCTCTATTCAGAGCACTTTACGGTGATCACTTTCAGTTTATATCACTCACTCACCTATCGAAGGAGTTGTTTTAGTCTTACTTTAAAGATAAAATATGGACAATTTTTACATAAAGTGCAGGATTGGCGCCAGACACGGGGAAAACTAGCTGCACAGAGTTCTTGAATAATTTAGAGGGGTTAAATTTTTTACAATTTGTGGAAGCGCCATGAAACAAAATTTAAAGATGTTAAAATTTTTAGAATTTAAAGGAGACAATCGACAGCAGAAGTTGGGGGTGGTAAAAGTTTTAGTTTAGGGAGGCACTGAGCAGCAAAATTTAAGACCCCTCAGAGTTTGCATTGAACGGCAAACTACCTAACTCTGATTCTGATTACGTGTCATTACGTAATTTAAGAATTTAAGGATCTGGAGTAATTCCAATTCGATTCATAAGCAAATAAAATGGGAAATTTTAAAGATTTAAACATTGGTATGAAGCAGGAGTCAGAGCTGCCATATTTTCGTACAGAAACTGTACACAGACCCCCCCCCAAAAAAGGACAGTTCTACATCTCCTGTTCTATTGGGCCGATTGACGAAATTTAAATTGCGTTTTTCACGCCTCGAAAGCGCGACTTGGAATGTATATTAGATTTCTATGATATTTAGCATTGTTCTAACATACGTATTTTGACACAAAATCAGACTTTTTCCGTGATAACATACAAATTATTTTACATATTTCGATTCTACGACTCGGGTTGTGCCTAAATATTAAGTTTTGTAAAATTTGGTGCGAAATTTACTGAGAAATTCAAAAATTTATCTTGGCGTGTTTTTCAATTTACGCCAAGAACTTGGCGAACATCTTAATATATGGCAACCTATTTTCCTTTCCTTCCATTGTACAGGAGCGGAAAAGTCTCATCATTCCTAACTTTTCACATTGTGAATGAGCAGAAAAAAGTCTCATCGCTCCTCCTTTCAAATAATTTTAACAAAGTGCCACATTTGATGCTATTATCACTTTCAACAAATATGCCAAATTTCAAAACGCGCCGATATATAAATTCACGTAAATCTTCGGAAATTTTGAATTAAAAAAAAACTAATTTTTGCAGGTGCGCTTAGAAATACATCTACTTTAAGATGATGGGAAGAATTTTATAGGTTATAATTCAAAATTTTCTTCAGAAAATTTATAAAAATTATTTAAAAATCGTAAAAAGTGGGCGAATTTTATTTGGAATGAACCTGAATTTTGAGATGTGAAAGGCAGAAGTTTAATAAAAAAAAAAAAAAGAGAATAATAAATAGATACCAAATTCAATTAACATTTGAGGAGCTAAATTTTTGAGAGCTAATTTTTTAAAAACTACTCGTGAGATTTTTACAAAATTTGGCATAATTTGAGTCGTAGAATCGAAATATGGAAAAAACATGGCATGTCATTTCAGAAAAAGTCTGATTTTGTGTCAAAATACCTATACTAGAAAAATGCTAGATATAAATCTAATACATATCCTAAGTCGCGCTTTCGAGAGATGAAAAACGCAAGTTGAATTTAGTCAATCGCCCTAGTGGAACAGGAGATAAAGATCTGTCCCATTTTTGCTTTTTGGTCTGAAGCTACTTTTTCGTTTTTCATGATTAAACTTCTGTGAACTTTGCAAGTAAAAATTTAATTTTAAGATATTTGTGTGAAACGACTATGATCTGCTAAATAAACTGCAGTTTGAAACGGTGGCCTGTTCAATAAAGTTCCAAGAATTGTTTAGCAAATCAGTCATTGTTAACAAGTCAAAACAAACTTGCAATGCTATATCGACAGAAAGATGCCCACACTCTTATGATGATTCTCAATCAGAATACCAGTTTTAAAAAGCTGCAGGTAACTTATGCCGAGCCACCTCAATGAAATACTTACATACCTTGGTGTAAGGGTGCCCGTACTTTGTATTGTTGAAGTTAAGAACTGGTGCGGGCACCTTTATCCCGAAGTATCCTTGTGTAGGATTAATTATCAGAACTGTGGTCAACTTGTATAGGAAATGTGGGCATAATTATAACGTCTCTAACCTACTTTATTATTAGTTGCTATGTTTTATTTCATCAGAATGAAGCAGAGCAGGTTCCTGGTACACCTGGAGTGGATTATCCGACGTATTTCGAGATACCCAAAACTTCATTTCGGTGCTCTCAACAGAAATACATTCCCGGGTTTTATGCCGATACGGAGACTGGCTGCCAAGTAAGTTCTTAAGTTTGTTTTACCGAAAGCTTCGGATTCTACAGCTCACTATTTCACTCTTATTTTTTCCGTGATTCTAAAAAATTAAGTTTTGTTTCGCGTATTGTTTTGAATTTTTGGTGTACCAGTTTGATCACATTAAAAATGCTTTGCGTTTTGTTAAATGCCTACTATTGGCTCACACTGTCCCTATCTCTTGTTTAAATTTTCAGTCGTTAATAAAATACTTTTCATTCATTCACTAGAGTTCAAATAAATTTTTTTAACTTGTAGTGGATAACACTTAAAGCTAATTCCTACTTATTGATTCCTATTTATTGCAACTAGTGATAGGTTGTTTTATTTTAAATATATTATAAGATTTGCAAATAATGACCGTTTATTAGGAATTCTCACGTGCTGTAAAAGTTAATTTTGTAACAACTTATAACTAATAGAGCATGACTGTGATAAAATGGGATTCTAATATTTAACAAAAATAATTGGCAACAGTAAGACAGAACTCTAAAGATTTTTAAAGTGTATGGAATTAAAGAATTGTAGTTTTATAGACTTGGATGAAGAGGTTTTAATGTCTCATTATCTAGAGAAAATTCTCTCCATATTTCTATATTAACGGGATAATAACGTGTTTAAAATGGTGTCCGCCGAAAACATCGCGGACGAAAACGTCGCGGAGAAACAACGCAAGGAGAAAACGTCGCGGTACAAAACATCGTGGTACAAAATATTGTGGTCGAAAATAAAGCGGTTCAAACACTTCGCGGTTCAAACACTTCGCAGTTTAAAAACATCGTCGTAAAAATTAAAGTACCTACAAATCATCGCAGGACGATAACATCGCATACATGTGTTTTCAGGTGTTGAAAGACGCAAATGCATGTTCGTATAAAGATCATAGAGCGCAAGAAGTAAATAGATTCTTTTACTTTTACATTTCATATATTTGAACGAACTAATAAATTTTTGCTGAAAAAATAAGAAGGAAACTTAAGCATTTAAAAACTTAAAATGAGTAGAAAATTAATGCAACTTAAAAGCTTAAAAGAATTTTAAATTTATATAGTTAATTAAGAAAGATCATTAGATCATTAATAAAGTAAGCTTTCTTTATAAAGTTTAACTGACAATTTTTCATGAAGTGTACAGTCTAAAAATGCATAGAAAAAGGAAGATAAATAACTTCATTAGGTTGCCTCTATAAAAATTGCTTAGTTAATAATCAAATTATTTTCTTTCACATTTGTTAATCTGATATTGTTTCAATGAAAATTACATATTGTTTGTTTCCGTTTATTCTTACAGTGTCGTTAACATTTCATGTATCAATTTTTTGGGTATCGATTTGTTAGTTATGACGAAATTCAGTTAAATAATATGTCACTATGCGATTTGAAAAACCCATGTATGCAATGTTATCGTCATGCGATGATTTGTACGTACTTTATTTTTTACCACGATATTTTTGACGACGATATTTTTAAACTGCGAAGTTTTGGAACCGCTTTATTTTTTACCACGATATTTTGTACCACGATGTTTTCTCCCGTGATGTTTTGTACCACAATGTTTCCTCCTTGCGTTGTTTTCTCCACTACGTCTTCATCCGCGATGTTTTCGGCTGCAACCGTTTAAAATATCATCCTTTAAAATATCCTTTGCTTCACAAATGGAGAATGCGAAAAGAAACTACAACACAACGCAAGCGACGATTAGAGAAGACTGTATATTATGCAGTAATGTTATATTATTATATAATGTTATATCTAGGACTAAACTCTTAGCAGCAGGTCAAGCATACTATGTCGCCTTGAGTCGTGTGAAATCATTAGATGGAATAGTAATTGAAGAACTGGACTGCTCGAAACTCGCTGGAAAGTTCCTAGCAATAATAAAGCATTACAAGAGATGGATAAAATGAGAAATTATAGATAATCACCAGGTTCATAAATTAGAAATGAAAAAATGTTAATAAAAATAACTAAATAAAATTTTTTCTTTGTTGACTTAAGTAGGAATTTAATTAATTTTTTTATATTACTTGTTCTAATTTAGACCACTTCAGAGGAAATTCTGATGAATTTTTGTGTTTACCAAATGCCAAGCATTTGAAAGGACTGTTGTTTCATAATTTTAATTGCTTTTTCTTAATTTTTATACAGCAAACATTAAAATGTGTCGTAAAAATAATCGACAGACAGTCGGTACCATGAGTAACTTTCTATCTTAATTTCCATCTTAATATATAAGTGCGAGGTAAAAAAAGAAAAATTATGTGTAGTAGCCAAAAAATAACATAAGTTTCTTTTGGGCATTATATTTCAAATTAAAAACACCGAGATATTAACACAGTGAAAAACGGCTCAACAAGTGCCCGAGTAGTTAAAATCACTGGCTACTGGGAGTTTGACTCGGTTCCGATATCAGGCGAACGGGCTGGCTACATGGTTATTTTTATGGTTTTCTTCATGTGTAACGTAAATGCAAGCCAGTTTTCTTAACCAGTTAACTCTAGCGCCCTCGTTTAAGAGTGCGCACTGTTTTGTGTCGCCGGAATCGAGCCATGACGAGTATATTCGTCAATTGCCATAGTAAGTTGCGCTGGTAAGATATTGGATGAAAAAGATTTTATTTTGTAAAATTTAAAATTTTATTACTAATATTTACTTATTTGGTTAACATAAGCCTATATTACGTATGAAACTAAAAACACATTAAATTAAATATTATACATATAAAAGTAAGAATTTAAATTCCTGCTGTGGAGTGATATTCAGCGAAACAGGGTTACTATACACAATGGGACTTTGCAAATCGGACACCCGTAACGCGATTCCTTCCTGATCTTACGTTTGTAGCAATGCGAACACCTTCGCGTAGGGTTTTTTTTCGATGTTCTGGGTATATAATCCGGAACATGATTCCCGCCTAATTGGCTTATATTAGGTCTAAATGGCCGAGTTTGTGTCGATTTATTTCTTTCAATTGGATACGTAGCAAAAGTGTCTTCAATAAATTTGAGCAAAAAGTGGATACGCGATCATGTTCCATTATTTTTTTTTATAAAATATGAATGCATTCAGACACAATGTCTACGAAATGGAGAAATATCTTTTTATAGTACTTTTTGAGTCGTTTTCTTGCTGTGGACTACGCTATGATAATTCCATCGCTCATATCCAGTCCACCCGTTTTTTTATTATATAATCAATCTCTAGCTCAGGTTAGTTTGCTATTATTTTTCTTTTCTGTTTCTATTACGTTGCTTTGTACTCGCGTTGCTTAGACTGCTTTATACGCGCGTTTGTTAGGCTGCTTTATACGCGCGTTACTGAGACTGCTTTATACGCGCGTTGCTGAGATTGCTTTATATGCGCGTTCTTTATACGCGCGTCGCTGAGACTGCTTTATACGCATGACGAGTGTACTCGTGAATACACAAAATCGTGCCGCTTCTCAATGACAAGTATAGTCGTCAATCACAGTTAACTGGTTAACGGTATTAATTTTTCTGTGGTGCTTGTGAAAGAGCTTGGTTTCGTACCCCGTTTGCCGCGTGTTCTAGCAGAACTGCATGAAAGGATCAAACACGCTGTCAATATCGTTAATAGTACTATGTTGAATAGAATCTGACAGGAACTGGATTATTGCATTAATGCATGCCGTGTGACTACAGGTTCACACATACAACACGTGTAAGGGATGTCAATGAAACTTGAATTGTATCTGTATCTAGTGCAGTGTTCTTTTTTTGCTCTATTCATTTTCGTTTCTTTACTATAGCTTTCTGAAACCCGAGACGGAAATTTTGAATAACCCGGTTTAAGTAATGAAATATTCGCAAAGCTTCTGTTTGAAGTTTGCTTTCTACAGAAATTTTCACAACAGTCAAGAGACATAACTGAAATACACTCATGTCCATAAATTAAGGATAATTCGGAGTCACGCAGAAATCGAACTCTAAAATAAATATATCACCTGTAAAATCACTACACACATCTTCAAGAATCATATGCACATTTCAGGAAGTAACCAAATGACACCGATGGTACGTCACAATGACGAGAGTGTAAGAGAGTGATATATAAGGAATACAGGCAGAGAAGTAAAATTGTTCTCGGGCGCTTTATAAGCATTTCAGTGCAATAACCGAATAGTTATGACAAAAAGGACGCCTTTGGATTATTTTTTAGAAAGTGGTAGAATTATCGACCGTCTGGAATGTGGGCGTACCCAACTGGAAGTATCAGACGAACTTGGAATTGCCCAGAGTGTCATCTCCAGGCTTTGGCAACGATTCCAAGATGATGGTAATGTGTATAGACGTTACAGCAGAGGTCGCCCTAGAGTTACAACGCTGAATGAGGACCGGTATTTGGCAGCTACTGCCAAAAGAAACAGGCGGAGCACAGCCTCGGACCTGTCTCGTCAGCTCTTCTCAGCTACTGGTACGACAATTTCAAGGCAGACCGTGTACAGACGCTTAGGGCAGATTGGTCTATATGTTCGTAGACCTGTCAGATGCGTTCCACTTATTGCAACTCACTGTCGCCTGCGGTTAGCCTGGAGCATAGAGCCTGCATTGTGGACACCGCAACAGTGGGCTTGTGTGATGTTTTTCGACGAGTCCGGGTTTAGCTTGCAGTCTGATTCTCGCTGGACTTTCATATGGAGAGCTCCAGGTACCGGATACCACCAAGAGAACATCATTGAACGAGTACTAGGCAGTTTCCCTAAGGAAATGTTTAATGAAAGCTCCCTTCTCTTGGCAGCTAGCTCTGTCTGCTTCATCATAGTCAATTGGTCCAATTCATTTATTATATATTTTTTCTCTTATACTAATACTCCTGATTAGAAAATATGACATAATTCTAGTTTCATGTTTCGTAGCATATTTGAAACCCTTTTAATTTCATCCTACTTTCCACTATATTACTAAAAATACTGTTGCATGCGTACGGGTTTATAATAGGTTGAATGCACGCAGGTGCGATGATAATAAAATGAATTTTTATCAAATGTTATGTTTAATTTTATCAAAGTTCTGGACTTTTCCACAGAAATACGTGTACGGGAGCTCACAGTATTACAAAGTACAATCAATAGTCATGCTTTAAACTATTAAGAATGTTACACAGCACAATGTAAAACGCACCTAAAGATAGCTTACCCGGAGATTTCATTTCACCCTGAATTAACTCGCGGTTGCAGCTAATCCTAGTGATCAATTACATTTATTCAGTTGCAATATCATTATGGTGATACAGGGACCGTACCTATGTCGCCAATTTGGGCGATTTTTGAAATTTCTTGCCATATTTGGTGCGGAAATCAGTCGCCAAAACTGTTGTCAGCTTGGCGATATGTCGCCAAATTAGAGATACCTATTTACTCAATGTTAAATGGACTTGCCTTTGTATTCTTACTTGTCCGGCATAGCTTCTCCCTTTAGATATCGCATGTTACATTACGCAGCAAAATACAATAATTCCATAAATGATTGCACGAAAATCGTATTTCTGTACAAAATTTGTAACAATAAGTTTTCAACAGGTATGTCTTTTAATTGTCAAAACAAGTGCATTTAAAAGTTCTGACGTCATCGTTGTTGCTCAGTTTTTGATGAAATGCCCTTGAACCTTTGTATTCATTTATCACATCGGGGGGCCCACCAGTGGCCGAGCGGTAAAGTCGCTGAACACTGGTAGTTCGGTCCGAGGTTCGAATCCCGCTAACGGGCTGGCTGCATGGGTGTTTTCCCCATGTGTAACGTGTATACGAGCCAGTTTCCCTTAGAAAGTCCTCCACGAAGGCATCCCTCCCCTTAGGCAGATAGCCCTATTGTGCTTTGCCATAATTAAATACACCACACCATATCACATCGGGTATCGAAACCACACATATCAAGCATTAATATTGGTATATATTTAAAAGAAAATAAAAAAAATCACTTAATTTACATCGTTTATAAACTAGAACTCTTTAACAAATTTTATATTTTTGTTTGTAGAAAAATTTCAGTATGAAGAAAATGTAAAGTTTTGAAATATTTTAGTGCGAGTTCATTCAGGTAAACTTTGTAAATGATCCAAATTATAAACCTGATTTTTATTTTTATAGGTATTCCACTCTTGTTACAAGCACCGCCAAGAAAGTTATCTATGCCCCACGGGTACAACATTTAATCAAGCTATATTAGCTTGCGATTACTGGTATAGTTCTAATTGCAGTTTAGCGCCTTTATTTTACAACGTTAATGCGTATGATAAGCACGAAATTTCAGAAGTAAGGTCTTATCCAATGCATACGTACTCTGAAGATGTTTTTAATAAAATGGCTTCTCTATACGATAGTTCTAGTGCATTGCCGCCGGTTGAAGTAGCGTCAGCATACAAACTTGACGATGATGATCATGAACAAAATTCTGTGCCAGAAATTGAATTTGAAGAAAAAGCAGAAACTACAGAGGAAAAAGACCAAGAAAGTCTCGATTTCGAACGGTATTTTCAGATCACGAGAAATACTGGTGGTTTATCTTTTCATGAGATGGTTAATGATCTTTATCCTTCCGCTGATCGCGTTTTTCCACCGCGCAAAATAAGCATTCCTTTGCCAGGATCTTACGTGAATGACAACAGGAAACTTCTTAAAGTAGATGAAGTCCTATCCGAACCAGAAGGTAATTCAAAAGCATCAGGTAATGAGGACAAAAAGAATCTGAAAGCGCAGTCCCTGTTTTCTAGTAATAAAAAGCAACATAAAGAACTTGATATAGAAACTCCTTCGGTCAAGTATGAAGGTGAGATGTTGGGCGATATAGTTGCGTCGGGATGGAATTCTGTTGAGTGCTTCGGACGATAAAGTAGGGTTAGATACAACAAATTTAGATATTAATCTAATGAATCAAAGATTGCCTGTGAAGCGCAGCAGAAAACAAATAGTGGGTGTAAGTAATACCCAGCCACTCTCAAAATCAGAATTGTCGAACGATAATAAATCAGATTTACCGAAAGCTGAATCCAAAAGGGATTATTTAAAAGAAGAATTATTACAGTCTTCTCATGAAGGAAATGAAGAACCAAGCAAAAAGTTCCTAAGCCATGACGCTAGTTTAGAGAGCGACGAAAGTCGGATGTCTGACAATGTACGACTAGATAAAATTGTATCTGATGAATCGGAGGCTAAGACAGCGGTAAGTACAACAGATTCTGCCGTTAGTAATAACACAAAAATGAGAGTGCTTTCGAGACGTAGAAGAATACAAATAGTGGCTGTAGAAGAACCTCAGCTTTCCTCGAATACAGAATTATCTAAAGATATTAAATCAGAATTGTTAGAAAATAAGGCCAGATTGGATCATCTGAAGGAGCAAACAGTGGCGTCCGATCCAGTAAGCCAATTCGAAGAACAGGATAAAAAAGATCACTTCGATATTCCAGGGCATGTGTCAGATGATAAAGCAGTCATACCTTCAGGAACTTCAGATAGTAGCCACACAAATTTTAGACCACTTTTAAAGCGTAGAAGGTTACATCAAATTTTTAATGAACCTGCATCATTCTCAAAATCAGATTTATCGAGATATGAAGAATCAAGTTCTGAAGGTAGAGGAAAGTCACATTCAGATGAAAGTATTTTGTTAAAAAATTTCAATACTTGGGAATCCACTAAGCCAATTCAGGGGGCTGATAAAAATATTAATCTCACGGCTCATGTTCCTTCAAAAGAATTCGAATCGCAGGACGAAAGTACAGACTGGGTATCTCTTGAGGAGGTAGAATCTTTGGATGAAAGGAAAGCAAACCACTTAGCATTATCTGAAAAGCATAAGGGAAACAAGGCTGAATCTTATACAAGAGAAACTGACAACGCACTTGAAAAGGATCTTTTATCACGGCGCAATGAATTCTTTATCAATAAACAAGCAGAAAGCAAAGCATCTCTTTCTGATTTTAACCAAGAATATGTAGAAGCTGAAGCAGAAGAAAATTCTAGCGAGCAAGATGAAGATACTGCTAATATGAACTCTGTAAGTTATGACTCATTCAGAGAATATTCATTAGAATCTCTTCCAGAAGAAACGCAGGGATGGATTAAATCTCAGTTTGACTCGGTCGTTCAGGAGCAACATCAAAATGAGGAGGCGAATCAGAATGAACAGTATTTTTATTTCACAGAAGTTGATTCTAATGCTCCAGAGTCTGAGGGCCTAAGTAATATCGCTCAGGTAAAACGCTCAGAGTATTTTGAACAGTACAGGGAAAACGATATTAAAGAACAAGATGAGGGGGAAGAGGTTTCGTACGAGTATGTTACAATCAGTCCTGAACAGAGACAGGATATTTTGAACCAGAATGAGCAGTACTTTTATTCATATGACAGTCTTCCAGAAGCAGGACATTTTGAAGAGCCTGATTATAATGTACCACAGTTTGAAGGGTATGAAAAACAAGATTTTCCAGCAAGCAAATACGAAAATGTTCTCTCATTTGATTTACCCAGAGACTACCCATCGCAAACGGAAGCTGATGAAACGCCTCATGAAATGATTAAAAGACTGCAAGTAATTCAAGAGGATATTGCACATGGACGCTTTTCTTCTGTACCAAATGAAGCAATGGAAGAATCTCCAACAATCAATACACCTTTATTGGAGCCAACTTCGAGACGTATAATGTATCACACGGATGAAAGTGAAATGCCACAGGTGAAAATTCCATATGAAACTGTTTATGTTTCAGAGGATGGTCAATTTTATAACATTTATAGTCAACAAGGCGAAGAGGAAAATGTTGAGTTCTACGAAGGATCCAGCACACCGACCTTCTCTAATGGAGCGGTTATCCAAGGAGCAGAAATATCGCGAAGTGGTCGTACACTGGACCCAACTATGCCAGGATTGATTTATACTGGTTTATATGCAGCTTCAAAATTAAATTATGATTTTGGTATACCTTTAGAAAAGGAAATTCCACCCAACTCGCACAGCTTACATGATATTCTTTATGGAAACACTGATGCATCGAATACCAGTCATGTAGTAGAACCAAGCATGCCACAGTTAGTTTACACAGGATTGCGAGTTGCTTCCGAAGTAAATTTTGATTTCAAAGATCCTTCCTTTGAAATTGGCAATAATAAAAGCGATTCTCAAGAACTAAATGCAGAACTTTCTGTTCCAAAAGCTGCAGAAGACTCTAAAGCCTCTGAAACATGGACTGAAACAAATTCTGAGATGGGAAGTTCTGTAGATATTGGCATTGTTAATTTTAAGCAGACAGATGTGGGTTCAGCGGAAAAACCTAACAAAGATGATGAATCAGATGAAAAAGGCCGCAATTCGGAGCTAAAGATTGCACATGCTTCTTCTGATTTTGAATTAACAGCAGTTAATTATACAGTAACCCAAACAGAAACTACCAATTCGGAATCCTCTGAAGTTGCAGCAAACCAGGATAGTACTGAAACACCTGAAGATAATCATGATCAGAAGCAGGCCGTCATAACAGAACAAGCTACTTCACATGATACCAACTATGATTCTGATGCCTCAGCAAATGCACCCCTGCACAAAGTAGGAACATCTGTGGACAGTTTCGATAGCTCATCACAGAAAGTACTTGAAGATTCTCTAGATTCTTTAAATTTCAAAGATGATATTTCGGATGAAGAATTTTATGCATTGTTAACTCAAATAGCATCGGCAGATCCAAACTCTGAACTACATTCGTCCTCAAAAGAAACACATACAAGCTCTTCTGGTAAAACTGGTGCTGACTTAATTGGAACGAATACCAAAGGGAAAACTAGCAAAACCCCTGAAATGAGTTCTCACTTGGATGGCAGTGCTGTTAAAGTTCCAAATGAAGAAAAATTAAAATCGACAAGAAAAATAGATAGCTCGAGTATGCCAAGTGAAATGATGTATTTGAACAACCCAGGCTCTTCCAGCTTTCAAGCATACAGTCAATTCTCTGGCTTTCCTACTGGCTATCAACAGTTTTCCCCCAGTAATGCTTTCAGTTCTCCAGCGCAAGCTAACTTGAAAACCATTCCGAAGAAACCTAGAAGATCGTATTCAAGGAAAACTCCTAGCCCTACTAACTTTTCAAAACTGAAATCTTTTGCAAACAAATTACTTTCAATGAAAACATCAGCATTCAGTGTATTTGAATAATGTTTAATAGTTCAAAATTATTAACCTTTTTTAAGATCTAAACTTACTGATATTTTATTTCGTATAATAAATTATTTTAAAAGGATTGCGTTTTGAGTTGTGAAATCTGGCCTCTAACTTTACAAGGTGATAGTAAAACGAAAATATACAGAAACTCTATCCCAAAAGTTTTATTTAGTACAATGATTTTGCGTTGCTAACGTTTTTAGAGCTTCACATATTCATTGCTTTATTATATTGGTAACATTAAAGATTACTGGTAATTGAATGGCCCAAACAGCGAAACACTATCATTTTCCACGGTTTTTATTCCGGGCTTCAAAACAATTTGGCTGTTTTGGGGGTTTTGTGGGTTTTCTCGGCATAAAGTGCATATTTCTAAAAAAATTCTCCAACACGACATCTCTTCCCATATCAGTAAACTTTAGTATGATTTGCCGTAATCAGAATCGATGCTATGAAATATTGCTTTGAACAGACTTACAAATTTGCATTTTCATTTAATGCATTAACTTTAAACCAAGTGAACCATACTAGAATGGTTATTCTGGCAAACAAAACTTAATGCCTTACGTTTAGAAAATAGCTTAAAAATAAATGAAGACTTTTATTTTTCATTAAGAACAACACTCACCAAACGATTTCTTAAAAGATGAAGCCCACCATCGGCCAACCGATAAAATTAATGAATACTAGCAGTCAAGGTTAAAAACCTGGAGATTGGGTTGGCTGCAAGAGAATTTTCATGGTTTTATCCCGATGTGTAAAATGAATACGAGCCAGTTTCCATTCGAAAGAATTATGCGCCGCAGATGTTGCTTCTCTTTAACATATGAAACAGGTGTGCTTTGCCATAACCCATATGATCCAATTTTGCAATGCCATCCTCTGCCAAACTATAAAATTGCTGAACACTGTTAGTTACGATATGCGATCCAATAAAGGCGACTAGGCTGGCTGCATGAGTGTTATTGTGGTTTTCCACTTGCGTAATGAGTAAACGAGCCAGTTTCCTTTAGAAAGTCCTCCGCGAAGGCATCTCTTCCCTTGGGCAGATAGCCCGACTGTGCATTGCCATCATCTAAATCAAACCAATCAATATTGCAAAAGATGCTTGACATATTGGCTACTTTTAAATAAAAGTTTTGTTTATCTTTTACAACAGTATTCTTGTTTTCATAGCAAGAATTTTTCAATAAAAGTTATTAATACAGAGGCTGTTCACACATTTTTTAGACGAAGTATATTGTATTCACAAAACTAAATTACATAACATTCTTGTGTTTTAAATGTTCTGTTTGACATCCATTATTCTAAACTATCTTCCGACACCGCAATTTCCAGGATAATATTGCCTTTTGAAGTGGTAGAAGAGATACTCTATCCCATTCCTCTCGAATAGCTTTCCAGAGTCCTGTTAGGGTTTTGGGACAAAGCTTTCATAATGCAGTTTTTAAAACTCCCAAAAGCCCAAAAATCCATAGGTGACACATCGGGAGATTTAGTAGGGATATCACTGAAGGGTATGGCCTGGATACCAGTTTTTTTGTTCCATTTCTTTTAGGAAATTTACAGTAGATTTTGATGTGTGACTGCTAGCTTTGTCCTGATGGAGTCTCGCAGATGGATGGCACTGTGGGTAAAGCGATGGTATTTCATTCAGACAAATTGACGATAAAATATGTTCCTGATAGTATTTGGAGTTAATCTTGACATTTTTTTGCACTCTCTTGATTTTTAACTTGCCATTATAAGAAAAACCAGCAACAATCATGAATCCTTTAGAAAAACTTTCTTTCGATTCTTTGAACCATGTACTTAAATTTGTTTTCTCCCCTTTTATGGTAATAAATGGCTCTTTTTTGTTACAATCATTTAAATACACCCATGGTTCATCTATTGTGACAATTGTTTTCCATTTTTCTTTGGATAAGTGTTTCTCATATAGAATTCTGCAGCGTGTCCTGCGTTGAGCGATATGCTTAAGCATATCGCTTATATATTATATAAGAAGACGATGCACATTGCGTTTTTTCGCTTTCTTAAGATTTAAATCAACGTTTATCATTTTGTTTACAGTGGACACCGAGCAATTTAATGATTTTGCAACTGTCTTTTGACTAGGGGGATTTTCATTTAACATTAAGCAACGTCGAATTGTTGAAGATGTCCGTTTTTTTCCTCGGATACTTGTTTGGAATTTTTGTCGAACTTGAGGCTCCAATTGGACGTTTTTTTTTCCTTGTTGATGACATTACCTATCGACGCTTTAGATATGATAAAACCATGACTCTCACATCGTTTTTGGATAACGGAGTATGCATATTTCTCTTCGGAAAGAGCGTCAATGTAGCCTTCGACCACTGCTTTGTTAAATTCGCCATTTTGAATAAAAACAAAACTTTCGAGCCACAGATGTGTTTCTTCTGCAAACGCAGTGGTATATATCGAAAGAACGTTGCTTGCGCGGAGTTAGTATGTTTTTATACGTGATAATCAGATGGTTTTTGACGTAGTTTCGGTATTCCTTTCCTTGCCTGGTTTTTATATTTTCATGTTTACCTTCCATTATTAAGAGTTTGTGAAATATTAGTTGTTTTTAGCCGAAAGGAGCGTCAGCCCAGAAGGGCTATTAGTCTCAAAACGGCATTTTGCATCGGCTCATCATAAAAGGCGTATCATTTTTTAAATTGTTACCACCAAATATTATCGCCCTGTATTACATTTATAGAAATTAAATAATGAAGAATCTGCATGGATGTATGCATGTTTTTTGCTTGTGAAAAAATGATACCTAAAGCCATTGAATTTTGTATAACGTAGTCCTGCATCCGAATATGGTCACCAATTTGTTTTACTGTCTATTTCTTATTTTGTAAAAATTTTGATTAACAAACTCAACGGTTTGAAACGAGCAGTGGTAATACTCTATGCAGTGCTTAAATTGCGCCGGAGCCCCCCGGAGCTCCGGCACTTCTTTAAGCCCTCACTGTGTGGGGAAAAAATTTTATCGCTAGTGCACGAAACAGTCAAGGTATGCTGTTTTTAAATATTTTATTATGTATATCATATTTCGTATAGCTTTAACGAATTTTTCATGAACCAACTCAAATATTCCGAAGCAAGCAGTGGCAACACCGTATGGTAAAAAAAAAAAAATAATGAAATGTCCGGCGCGCGAGCTGTCGGAAATTCTACAGATATGCTGTTTATAAATACTTTTAACCCAAATGCACTCGAAGTGTATATGTGCATGTACATGAAACAAAAGCACCTTTGGGCATAATATAAAATCTGAAAGCTTTCAGTTTTTTTTTATTTGTGCTATATTATTTCATATCCTGGTATTGTTAGTGAAAGTTTGCCTGGCAGTCTACAAAGTTAAATATAGCATTAAGTTGGTGGTCCGAAATCTTGGTTGTTTTGACGATTCCAAATTTTGGAAATTTGCAGATTTTTCAAGCACGAGTTTAATAAAGTGGCATAACATAATGGCAGCATTTGGTCCTCACTTATTGTTTAGGTCAAAGAAATTACTGTCCTCTCCCAACCATTGAGGTGCTGAAAGTGTCATTTTCGGAAACTTCAGTGTATCATTCAGTGTACTACCATTGGCCTCAGTGCAACTCCCTAGGCAGCAGGTGTTTGAAAGTAATATGCAAGAATACCAGTATTATTATCGTATGTTATCGTATTATTATCGTATCATATTATCGATTTAAATCCAAATGGGCACGGAATGGGGCCGTGATTCAACTTTAGCTCTTTGAACAACACATTGTTGCTCGAAATCGGTTTCTTGTAAGTCAACCTATTGGATCAAATTTTAGAATACGTGGTCCTCACAATATAATGCAAACTTTTTCATCTTTAATAATTTGTATTCAAAACGCTTAAGATTTACTAAATTCAACTCTTGAATTTGTGGTTCGAATTAAATCCTTTAAATTGGATGGTAGGTAAACAAGGAGACAAACTTTCGCTTCTTGCGATGGCTTTGAGAAGTGGAGCATTGTTTCATTTAAACATTTCACTTGATTCCAAGAACCGAACTGTGTTTGGAAACGGAAAAAATAGAGTTTGAGGTTATGGCACCAATTTGCTCGCTTGAATTGAGAGTAAAGCGAAGGTGTCAAGGTCTCTTTCAAGCTGCTTTTTTTATGAGTACGTTTGTTTAATCTTTGAAATGCATTTAAGCTGTAGTTGTATAGAATTTTTTTGGCTTACTTTATCGTTTTAGCTAAAAATATACCCACGGAGAAGGGGGAAGTTTCTAATATTATTCCTGATACTCACAGAATTTGGTTATAACAGTAAATTAAAAATTCGGCAAAGTTTCAAATAAGGATATATTTTGAAACCAATTTTTAAAAAAAAAAAAAAAAAAAAATTCCAGCCGAGTATAGAGAAGACATCAATAAAGTTGCACTTTATATTGACAAAGGCTTGCGCAAAGCTTGTTTGCACCAAAAAAATCTGTCATTTTTGCTTTTGTGTGTGATATATATTATAAAATATACTCCCCCCCCCCAAGAAAAATATGAAAGCTTTCAGATTTTTTATTACGCCCCCATCATATTTTAACGTTTTTTGTGTTATCTTTATTTATTAAATGTCATGTCCTTCGCACTTAGACCATAAAATTCAGTTCAACAGCAATATCTCAAAATAATTTTAAAATGAGCCTATCTTTAGAATTTCCAGTATACAGTCTCGCGCGATGGAGGTGAATTGTTTTTTTTTTTTTAATTTTTTTTAAAGTCCAAAGTGATTTTGAATCTCCGAAGGACTATTACTTAAGTGCAAAGAACATGATATTTAATAAATAAAGGTAGCACATAAAACGTTAAAAAAACGCCCCTTTGAACGTAATTTAAAATCTGAAACATTTCAGATTTTCTTTTTTTTTTTTTACCGGTACAGTGTTGCCATCGCTCGCTTTGAAATCCTTGAGTTTCTTAATGAAAAATTCGTTAGTGTTACAAAATATGAAATAGATA